CCGAATTTCTGTTTTGTAACTGTGACCGGAGAGGGAGTATTTGTGCCTGGAATGGAAATCACTCAACCCATGCTGCCACAAAATTTCCGGTATGCTCCAAAGGCAGTGCTGTCACACCGTCAATCCTGGTCGTTATACAGAATGTTGATCTCTACGCAACGTAATAATACGGGCCTGACTGAGATACAAGCGAGATTTTATGAAAAGAGATATTCCTTCATCAGATAAAATATTGAGCATATTATTGAACGCAAGGAAAATAAAACGATCGTCTAGTTAGTTGCTACAGTTGCTAGAGATTATGTAAGCAAGAAACTTAAGCTGATTGACGGCCTGTACACGTCGCCTAACTGTTGCACTAGTGATTCCATTGCGTTAAATGCGTTTTTCATAACTTTTGACGAACGCAAAGGAAGACACGCTTTCGTAGCTGTTTTACACACATGGAAGTTGTCAGGTGGCGAAACTCGCTTCCTATAATGTTCCTCATGGCAATATAATCTGCTTAATCCCCGTCAGCAAGACGTCTGTTCAGATGACTTTAAGTAACTGAGTCTGAAGAAAAACGAAGATGCAACAAAAACATTTACATACTTGTATCGGCCAGTGACCAGTGGCTCCAAATTATCTGTCAGCAACTTGACGAGACCAATAGCGCAGATCTTCTTGTCCATCGGCGTACTAACCTTGTCAATATCCGTTAATATGACCTTTTCGAGCAACATGCCAAATATTCCATTTTGAATATTATCGACGATTTCGATCAGTTTCGCGGCACCAAACTTGATGCAAAACAAGCACGTGAAAACGATGAAACTTTTCACGTATTTCAATGTTTTCAAGTTCTGCAAACGTGTAAACAGTAAAATGAATATATTTTTCATGTACGGTTGCAATTTATCATATGGCAAGTATTCGACTAGACTGTTTAGCATGTAGAAGGCGTCGCCGTCGCTCAGCTTCGATGCTACAAGCTTCTGAAATACGCCCAAAAGTGCCATCAAATCCTGTTCGCTCGAAACCCGTTCGCAGCCAACTTTCAGGTAAGACTAAAAAACTCATTTTCACTGCTAAACAACGAAAAAAAGATACTCAGGCTTACCCTTAAAAGCCTAACAAGTGCCGGGATATTTCCTCTGCTTTCCCACAAAACAGGGGAAAGAAGAAAGTTATAGAGGTTGGCGTAAGGCTCTGGAATACCGTAGCCAACGGGTCTCAAGTCGAGAGTCAGTGCAAGCACCTGAAAAACATAAGGCATGAACTCTGCAACATTCGTTCGCAGAATTTCTTGAAATATTGGAAACAGTATTTTTTCGAAAACTGGGATTTGTATCTTCGCATTTTTTGAGACTCCGTGGATCAGCACGCAGATCGACTCTAAGAGGTAGTGATTGAAATGCGGTCTGCTCGGATTTTTCGACACGTCCACTAGCTTCTGTGCTAGCTTGGTCAAAATGTCACTCGCATATGGTTCCACGTCGTCAGAACAGATCAGCAAACAACGCATGATACCCTTCATCACGAACATATTCTCTGACGAGTCTGCCTGATCGAAAGACCAAAACAGATTTTCCATCATTTCTCGAATCATCGGCAGCACTTCGGTACGATTAAACAGAGAAATTCGACGGTCTGAAAAATAAAAACGACTTTGGCATCTTTCAGTGAAACTTTGCCGCATTGGAAATCATGTGAGTTCATGACCATACCTTATGAAGAAAAGGCACTTCCTAATCAAAATATAAAGATACGGCTCTCCATTAATCGCATAAGAACAGGACACAGAGCAGATGAGTACGTCATGTGCACAAATGAGAATTGCGTGAAATGAGAATACGGAGCAGATGGTCAAACCATGACTACCTTATTACCGTACACATCCTTTACAAACTAAATGATACACAAGGCCTCAGAAGCTACCCGCAGGTCGCTGTCAAGTTTAAGCATGGAACCGCGACTTGTACCTAAACGTTATCGAAACAGAGCTAAAATATTACTTTCACGGAGTGTATTGTAACTTGTCTTAATTCTACCGTGAATCAAATTAAACTTCGCTGGACAAACTGCGGGAACTTTCCGTCTGATTTCTCATTTTTTTGCTCATTTTTGCATGACACAAAAATGACCGATACATATTAGAATTTTCGTTGCACCACAACAGCCATTTCGCTGCGTCCAGCACAACCATGTAAATATCTTTTGGTTCTTTGCAGAAGGCATAGATGCAGCAGTGCGCCGTCATTTGCTCTACCACATGCACCTCACCACATTTGCATACAGACACAACCTTCATCTTCTGATTATTACGCAAATATATAGCATTTG